TAATTTTTTGTGTCAAAAATTGGTTGGGGAAAATTTAATCATTTTGCTTTGCAAATGAAATTTTAAAATGAAACAGGAAATTTAGCCTTTTGGGTTAAAGCCCGATTAGTTTTAAAATTATTTGGGGAAATTTTGTTATCCACTTTGACTAACAACACTAACAAAATAACCTAAAATTTTAACTAAATAAAAATTGGTTTATATTTCATTGGGGGGGGTGGACTGATTGGGGAAAAAGTTGAAAATTTTTGCATTAAAGGGGGGTAAGTTCTTCCCTTTTTGTTTTTTTCCCCCTTTTAAAAATTTTTTTTCTTTTGGGAAATTTAAAAAAACCAAAAGGGGGATGTTATAAAGATAAAAAACCCTTACAGAATGGAAATTTGAAATTTTTCATAATCTCGTTTTTTAGTTTGAATATAGATGGAAAATTTGGGGAAATGGTTTGGGAAAATCTTATGATATTTGGTTTTTCAGCAAATTATTATATAAAAATGACATAGATTCCAAATTTTTTTTCAAAATGAGAATTTTATTATATCAAAAGGGGAGAAGAGAAATTAGCCCCCCTTTTTTCCCGGGGGAAAATTTTTGGATAGGTTAAAAGGTTAAAATTAGTTAATTTAATAAATTTTTTATTTTTTTTATTAAAAAATTAGTGAATTATGGGTTTCTTTAATGTAAAAGTAAAATGGCCTTCCCCCTGCCCCTTTACTAAAATTTTGGGGTATGTGATATAGAAAAACTTTTACTAAATTAGAAATTTTATAATCTCAAAAAAGAACCCGGGTTTCAAATAAAAAATTTTAATGCCGGGTTTTTTTTACAAATTTAAAAATTTTTGGTATAGATTTCTGAATTTACTGTGACTTTGATTTTTATACAGGGTTTGGGGGAAAATTGTTAATTTTGAGGAAAATTTTGGTTAAAACTGCTTTGAAAATTTAGATAAAAGTTTAAAAGGGTTTCTGAAAATTTTTTAATAGGACTTTTTTCTTGAAACGTGGGACAAAGATAAGGATGTTTTGGTATTTAGTAGGGAAAATTTGCAATTCATAATTAAATTTTACCAAGGGCAATTCCCTCCAACTTTTTGGGATTTTTTTAAAACCCCGACTTGGAAATTTCTAGAGGGTTTTTTTTTTCTAATTCTTTAATGAGTTTGGTTTAGGGGTTTTTTGAATTTGGAATTTTAGTTGAATTTTTTGGCACAAGCAGGGGAATGTCTCGAAGGGGGATTGACGTTTATTGATTTTTGAAAAAAGTAAATGTCATTATTTTTCTTAATTCTGGCAATCCCATGTGGGGTATTTTAAACAAAAATTTCCCATCTATTTTTTTTGCAGTTCAGGAAATTTGGGGGCAGTTGGCCGTTTGTGCTAAACAACAACAAATCTTTGCGCCCAAACGGGGGAAAGGCCATCACAAGAAAATTTTTTTATTTATAGTAGTGGAAAAAATAACAAAAAAGTGGCAAATTTTAAAGGGTTTTTCCTTTTTTTTTAACCCTTTGTTTATTTTTTTTTCCCGGCAGTTCTCCCTTTTTTCTGACTTTGATGGCAATCTTGGGGGAAAAGGGGTCCCTTTTTAGCTCAGAGGGTCAAAGGGAAAATTTTATTTTAAGGGTCTTCTTGATTACCGCAATTTAAAGGCCCCTGTTGTTGGGACAAAGAAACCCCTGATGATTTGCTGAACTGTGCCCATCTTCTGTGGAAACCCGGCCCGTTTTGAAAGCCCAAAAGCCTTTTGAGCGATTACGGAAGGTCAGTGAAGGCGGGAAAAGTTACCTTGGGGAAACAGATTTTCTCCCTTTGGGCTGGGTTTCTTTTCATGGGCCCCGGGTGAATAACAAAAGGGACTCAGGCGTTATATGGGGGGAGTCTTCTATGGGGAACTCCCCCCAGGTTTAGTCGGGACCAAAAAAGATCATAGCAAACCCCGGGGCGGGGGGGGTTTAGTAGATTTACTGGTCTGTGGTTTCTATGTCCTGCTCTGTCGACCACGGGAAAAGGTGACCCAAAATTCATTTAAAGCCCGGGACTGTATCCAGATGTTTCTGCATGCTGGAAATTTACTGCTTTCTAAGACCGTTCTGATTCAGCAGATACAGAATTGGGGCTGGCAAGTCGCCCCCAACGGTTTTTTCCTGTTGTGTGTTCCCCATGTTTGATCCTGGTACTACCCCTGATCATGTGAACCCGGGCGGGCCCCGGACCAAATCCTGGGGTTCCCCTTCAGTCTGAGGTTGGAGACGAATTTGGGGGCCAACACAACTTGGTAGTGGTGAATTTTAAATTATTTTCTTTAAATTTTTTGTTGTGTGTGATGCCCTTGGGTTTTCTTCTTATTTTAGATATAGCCTGAGGCGCCCTGTTTTCTTCACGTCCTGCAGGGCCCGCGTGTAATTCTTGGTGTTGAGGACGAAACCCCCCCCTGGGGTCAGAGGGTTTTTCGTGCGTTAGGGGTTGGGGTGCACCAAAATGTTCGACACTGCATTCCTCCATGATTTTACTTGGGTTTTTCTCACAAAAATTTCTGGTGTGTCCTTTTTTTCCCCTTTCCCGCCCCGGAAAAAAAATTTGGGGAGGGGCTAACCCATTGCAATTCATTTTTTTTAAATATTGCTGAAATTTTCATTGTGTGTTACGCTTCTTTAACTAAGGGAAGGGTGATCTTTAAAATTTTTTTTTGCCTTTGTACAGTGGCTACCATTCAGTAAAAACTAAATTTTTTAAAAATTTTAAAAGAATTTGGGGAAAAATTAAAGGGGGTTAAAGTGGATTTTGGGGGTTTTTTAGAATGAAATTACTTTTGGGGAAATGCCCCCAAAAGTTTTGTGTTGATTTAATTTAAAGTTTAATCCAAAAAAATTAAAAATTTTTTGTTGGAAAAGGGGTGTAGATTGTAAAGCAATTTTGGGACACCGTGTTTGAATTGCATCCCTGGGGTTTTTTTTTAGGCTTAAAGTTTGTGGTGATTTGCGGGGGGGGACCTGGGGGGGTTTTACCGGGGGGGGTTTTTTAAATTTTCATTACCTTTGTGTCTTTTGGAACGGGGGAATTTTTAAATTTTGGGTTTTTTCCCTTTTTTTTTTTTTTAGGGTTTTTGATTTTCTTTTTTTTTTTGGGTTATTGGTTTTAAAAGGGGGGGTTTTTTTTGTTTTTACGGTTGGGATTCGCAATTGGGTTTGGTTTTTTGGTTTGCCCCAATTTTTGTTAAATTGTTAATTTCTTTGGCTTTTTTTTTTACTTAAATTGTTTTTTTTTTAAAAAAATTTGGGGTGTTTTTTTGGATTGTTGGGGTTTCTTTTTGGGGTTTTTTAAAATTTGGTTTTTTTTCTTTGGGTTTCCAAAAGGAAAGGGGTTTTTCTTGATTTTTTTAACTTTTTTTAAATGGTATTGTCCTCTTAAATGAAAAGCTTGTTTGGTTTTCCCTTTTTAAAAAGGGTTCCTTTTCTTAAATTTTTTTAAAAAGGTTTTTTTTGGGTTAAAAGGATTTAAAGGTAAAAATTTGGGTAAATTTTTTGGGATTTTAAAATTTTTTTTTTGGAATGATAATAGGGCATTTTTTATTTTTCTCCTTTTTTAAAAAGGGCTGGGTTTTTTTTAAGGTTTTTTAAATTGTTGTTTTTTTAAATTTTTGGGCCAATTTGGTTTTTTTAAAAGGGGTTTTGGGCTTTTGTTTTTTTTTCTTTTGTTTGGGGTTTTAAATTTTATAAGGCCCTTTTCCCTTTTTTTTTCCTTTTGGCCTTTTAAATTAAAAAGGGTCGGCTTGTTTAACTAAAGTTTTGGATTTATAAAACCTTTTCTGTTTGTTGGGGTTTTTAATTTTTCTTTCAATCCGGGGGGTTTCCCCATATTTTTTTGGTTTATGGGGGTTTTTTTAACCCCCTTTCCCCTTTTAATTTAAAGGTAAAAGTTCCCTTTAAACCCTTGTTTTTTGGTTTCCGGGCCTGGAGCAAATTTAAAAAAAGCCCCTTCCAGGTGTAGGGTGGGATTGGGGGGGAATTTGTTTTGGGTTCGGGCCTGATTTTTTGGTTTTAAAGGAAAAAAAGGGGTGGGCCCCTGTTTGCCCGGACCTTTTCCGAGGTGGAAGGGGTTTTTTCATTTTTAGGGCCTCTCCCTCTCGGGGGGGCCGGTTTGGGTTCCTTTGGAGTTGGGGTGGGAGCCCCCCGTGGGATTTTTAAAGGATTTTAAATCCTTTAAACCCGGGTTTGAGGGGTTTAGGGATAAACCGGTGGGAAGGGTTTTTTTCGGGGGTTTTTTCCAAAACCCTTTATTTTTTGGTTACCAGGCTTTTTAAAAGGCCCGAAGGACTAAACCCGTTTTTTGGGGTTCCCATTCTTCAGAAAAGGAGGTTTTTATATTCTTTGGCGGGGGCCCTTTTTTCCACCCTTAAATTTCAGGTTTGGTTTTTTGGGTTTTTTTTTAAAATTTTTGCCCAAACCTAAATTTCTTCATCCCCAAAATTTTCCTTGGGGGGGTGGTTTTTTTGATCTTGATTTTTTGGGGTTTCCCCCTTTGTTTTTCTTTTTGGAAATTGTTGGGTTTTTGGGAGGTTTGGGTTTAGGCCCCTTTTGGGGCTAGTTTTTGGGGGATGCCGCGGGAAAAGGGTTTTAAGGGGAGGCCCTGTCCGGGGGTTTAGCAGCCCAACCTAAAGGGTTTAAAAGGGCCTTTGTTTCCTCTTCCTTTTTCTTTTTTTTAAGGGGCGTTTTTTTGGGGGGGAAAAAATTGGCTCTTAAAAAAAACCTTGTTCGAAAAAGGGATTTCTTTTTTTTCGCTTTATTTTAAGAGGAGTTTTCAATCCTCCCCCGGGGGCCAAACGCCAATTTTAGCCCGGAAGGGGTTTTGTTTTTGCCGCGGCCCACGGGGAAAACCCAAAAAATTTTAGGGCGGGGCGAGGGGGGGTTTTTAAAAAATCCCAACCCACAGGGCGGCGGTTCACGGGGTGCTGGTGCGCTGATGTCATCAAAAGAAAGTGGTCTGGAACTCGCTTCGCCAGACCATACCGAGTCGTGGAGGTACATCTCAGGCCTGTCGTCTACAAGAGGAAAGGGGAGACACGGGTTCCATTGGAGTCAGCTGAGGAGCCACAACGCACGCTCCCAGGCATACAGGGATCACAGTCTAAACCCGGGGGCGGTCGGGAGTGTCTGAGGGCCATCACAGCGCGGAGGAGGATCTGCATTTCCGGGCAGAAGTCTGCCAAAACCACTTCATTTTCCTGAATTACAAGGCTTAAAAGGCCCAGACAGGCACAATAATCCTGTTCCGGTGTCCTTCCATTGAGAAAAGGAGATTGCACCCATTCTTAAAATGGCGGCGCCCCTGGCGGCAGCGGCTGGCATACAGCTCCGACCAACTTGCGGAGATTTTCATAAAAATATACCGCCAAACCCGCTGCAAACTGCTTATCTACCTAGCAGATCATCACTGGACCGCCAGCGCCTGCTGGAGTTACGATCATGCAGTGTATTTGGACTTGTAACCACCACTACGCTCGACTGTTTACGTGACTCCGGAGTGCTCCGGGATCAAGCCCCGGAGGCCTGCGATGCAGCGGACCCGTCGAGGGGCTCACGCTGGAGGAGAGCCAAGCGAAAGGGGTTTGAAAGCCGGCCGAGGAAACGCGGCTGTCGCGGGGGTTTTAGCAGCCAAGCTAAAGGCTAACCCCCACGGGACCATCGCTTCCATCCATCCTGCTCTCCAACGTACGTTCACTGGATAAAAAAAACTGCCCATCTTCAACTCGAGATCTCAGCAAAGAGGGAGTTTAGGGGACTGTTGCGCTCTCATTCTGACAGGGGACGTGGCTCACATCATCAACCCCGGACAACGCCATTAGCCTGGAGGGGCTAGCTACTTTCCGCGGGCCCACAGAACAAAGAACTCAGCGGTAGAGCCGAGGAGGGGGACTCTGTGTTTACATCAATAACAACTGGTGTAAAAAAGCTAGAATAGTCACCAAATTTTTGCTCTCCGGACATAGAGCTTCTGACTGTTAGCTGCAGACCCTTTTACCTGCCCAGAGAAGTTCACTGTTTTTACCATCAACGCGGTGTATGTCCCCCCAGCGCTGATACAAAGGAGGCCATGAGTGTTTTTCTATCGGACTGTCTCTGAGCTGCAATCTACACACACAGAGGGCGTTTTTCATCAAATTTCTGGAGAAATTTTTAATCAGGGGAATATGAAAACTGTTCTCCCTCATTTTTATCAACACGTGGATTTTGCTACTCGTGGAGAGAACACTCTGACTTATTTATACAAACAAAAAGACGCATTCAGAGCAGCCCCCGCCCCCACATCGGCTCCTCAGACCCCCTTTCTGTGATGCTAATTCCTGCATACAGACCCCTGCTGATCAGAGCAAAACCTACAGTGAAGCAGGTGAGGGTCTGGACGGAGGGGGCCATGGATGCACTCCAGGACTGCTTTGAATGCTCTGAATGGGACATGTTCAAATCAGCAGCAACATATGACAACAAGATCAATGTTTATGAGTACGCCATGACTGTTTCAGCCTACATCAACACTGCATCGAGGACGTCAGCACAACAAAGACCATCACCACCGAGCCAACCAACGGCCCTGGATGACTGAGGAGGTTCCGCCACGCGCTAAAACACGGAACTCAGCCTTCAAATCTGGTGACAAGGAGGCACTGAGGACAGCTAGAGCCACCCTGAAACCGTGCCATCAGGTTAGCAAAGCGGAACCATAACCAGAAAATCCAGCATCTGTTCCACGACGCCAACAACACCAGGAGCATGTGGAAGGGATACGGGCGATCACAGACTACAACACGCCCCCTGCCCCGGTGGATGAAGTTGATGCTGACTTCCTAAAAAGGACAAATAATTTTTTTGGGAGGTTTG